CAAATGAGAGGTGTGTTTCAATCCTAAACATTAGGCCTTCTTTTATAGGGGGAAAATTCCCCCAAACTTAACTCCCAACCGATGTGGGACTTTGGCATTTTGCCAAACTTCAACAGTTGTTGTTGTTGTTGTTGCTCTGTGTGATTACAGTTGTGTAATCTTGCACTTCTGGTATTCCAGAAGTCGCTTAGAGTTGAAAAATCGAGAGATCTTTTATGTTATATATATAGAGAAGAACCATATAAAAATAAAAATTTATAGGTTGACAAGTTTCAACATGCAAATTGTGTGACTCGTGAATTTCATGGGAAGTACTTATTTTTTAATCTACCTTCACATGTAAGAGTAAGGTATGCGTATACACTAATACCTTCCATAGATCCCGCTTGTGGGATTATACTGAATTTTTTATTGTTGTTGTTTGTAAATCCATAATGTGGCAGGGCCAAAACTGGATGTTGGACATAAAGATATGCATTTTATTTGGTATATTCTTTGCTCAAATATTATGTTATTCTCCTTTTAGTTTCTTTCTCTACACTTTCCTGTACTTTGAAGTATCGTAAATGTCGAGTTTCAACACTTTGGCTGCACTTTTTTTTTTAACCTTTTTTCTGCGTAAAGGGTTAAGGAGCATTATCTGCACTTTAGCTTTTTTTAACCAAGGAGCAAAGGATCCAAATGTATTAGAGATTGTTAATAATGTTTAGCAAATTGGATAATGTTTTCATGACACTTGTGAGCAGTCTGATAATAATTATTTAAGGTTGATTAATCAGTGATAATCTGAAGTAAAGAGTTGAGATAACTGCGGAAAAAATGATTTTCCCCAAAAAGTCATTTACCATCTTGTGAGAAAAATTTCTTCTGGCAATTAAACAGCAAAATATTATTCCGGTGCATAAGGCATTCTGCGTTCACGTAGGGTCGGGAGAAAGGTCGCATAGTGACAGCTTTCACGGTTCGAACCCGTGATCTATAAGTCATACAGGAGATAATTTTATTGTTGGTTCAAGGTTTCCTTCAAACAACAAAGTATTACTGTACTTAATTTTTGGAGAAACATTTTAATACATAGTAAAAAAGAGAGATATGGAGCTCAGAACTCTCAATATTCACTTGCTTTTTTTTTTCCTTTAGAATGTCCATAGGTTAACATCATTCTAGTATCCTCTTCTTCTTTTTTACAATTCTTGATATGAAAGGAAAGAATAAATGAAGAAGTTGAAAGCAAATGATTAGTAGTATTGAAGGACCCGTAGTTAGCGGCGGATGTAGCTCTTTGGTAGTATTTTTTATGCGAGATATAAATATAAAAAGGGTAGTCTGGTGCAAAAAACATCTCAACATTCACGTAAGGTCTGAGGAAGGGCCGCACCCAAGGGATGTGATGTAGAAAACATACCCAAAGACAATACATTGAAAGTTTTTGGTTATTAAAACCAAAAGTTATTGAGATGGTTATTTTGCACAAAAAAAGAAGAAGCAGAATACGACACTTTTTTGGGTGGTTTTTTAACTTTTGGTCTCTGCTTGTCCCATGGACAGAACTTTAAGGTCAAGAGTTAAAAGTATTGCTCATGAGTCAAGCGAGCGGTAATACTTATAAGACTTTAAAGTTCTACCCATTGAGCAAGCGGAAAGAAAAATTCAAGACCATCTACTTTGAGGGGCTATTTGTGTACTTCAATCACCCAAATACATTGTTGTTTATGGGCCAGTTGCATCTAAGTCCAAGCCATAATTGGATTGTTGTTCATAGGCCAGTTGCATCTAACAAAAACAGATCATCCAAGCTGTGTTTTGATATCTTAAAAGTAAATTAAAAAGGAAAAAAAGAGAAAACACCAAGTATGTGTGTGTTCTTGATTTTGTAATAATGTAAATGGATACATCCTTAGTTATAAATATTGGGATCAGATTATTTTCAAAGAAGTGCATCTAATAATTGATCAAGACCATCATTTTCTAATAACCCTTCTTGAATCTTGACCATATTCTCAGGAAATATTGATTTTGAAGAGCTCGATGCTTGAGATGCATTAGCCTTGTCTAAATTACTAGCAGAAATGGCTCGTATTTTCGGCCCGTGAAGGGAAGCTATTGTACCATTCATGGAGTTATTAGCCTTTAATTGATTCTTCAAATCTGCTGTATATATATGCTGTTGTATCATATGCAAAACCTGCTGTATCAAACGTCCCTAACCATACCCTTGTTCTCTTTACTTGGTAACCTTATTAGAGGTCAAAAGTCAAAATTATTATCTATGATGTAAGTGTGGGCAACACTTGTTAAATACTTCACTCAAGTTCACTTCTGTCGTCCACGGAGTGTGTACGGTTAAAAAGCCAATATATTTGTGCAATCACCCTTTTATTTTTAAGGTCTGGTAGCTCCCACCGACCAGGTCTTCGAGTTTCAACTTGGAACAGTCCAATTTGGTATCGGTGCAATGAGCCCTTTTGTTTGGGATAATGACATTGTATAGTCGCTCTCAAAATAATATATATATTGTATATATATACATTCTGTATGTTATATATAAAAAATATATAAATTTTATTCACTTTTTCGGCTACAAAATGTAAATAATTTCGACGCATGCTAAAAGTAAAAAATCCCCTTTTGTTTCCATGTGGAATAGCCCATCCATGCAACGAGCCCACACAAGCTAACTCTCCAAAAAATTAAAGAAATATGACACTTTTTGAATGACCTTTAATTTTTGACTCCCGCTTGCCTCATGAGCGAAATTTTAAGGTCAAAAATTAAAAGTATTTTTCATGGGACAAACGAGGCACAATACTTATTTTTGCCCATGGGGCAACCGGGGATAAAAATTCAAGACCATCCACTTCAAGAGTTATTTGTGTACTTCAACCTTGACTCTCAACTCTCCACCAACTTTTTTTTGTTCATTTTTGGAAAATTATGCAGTAGGAAATAGACCGTTTACATTACACTCCCTTGGGGTCAGAGGCTGATCTAGGATTTCATGAACATGGGTGCACCACTTAAAATAAATAGAAAAAAAAGTATTGAGTGAGAATCGATCCATGTTCCTTTGGGAAAACCCCAAAATTCAACTAAGTGCACCATTCAATATTTTTGGAGCATGGGTGCCAACACATAATATTAGACAAATTTTAAAAAATACGTGTATAAAATACCTAGTTTGACTGAAAGACCATGGGTTCACGTGCCCCATGATTTGGGCTATACATCCGCCCCTGCTTGGGGTGTAGCCCTTCTTCAGATTATGTGTAAATGCAGGATGTTTCGTATACCGAATTGTCCTTTTATGTCTAACTTAGCAGCTGGCAACTAGCAAGTGTGTGCTTAGAAGAGAGGCTTAGTTAAAAAATTGCTAGTCTTCATATTCAATTTTTTCTTTAAGCATTGGTATCCAAAATTCACTTTCTCAACTATAGGGAAAAAAGAGGGAGAAATTCAAAAATAGCCAGATTTATAATTGGTCGTTCAAAAATAGTCCAGTTTCAAAAGTAATAGAAATTTAGCTATTTTTCATGTAAAGATAAATTTGAGCGAAAACATTGTACAAAACCCTAAAAATTCCGCAGTATATTATACTGGAGTTCCAGCATAAGTATGTTTGAACTCCAGCATATTATACTGGAGTTCCAGGATAAGTATGCTAGAACTCCAGCATAATATGATGGAGTTCCAGCAAGTATAATTGTCCAGTATAATATACTGGAGTTTGGAGCACCGGTGCTCCAGTCTCCAGTATATTATAATGGAGTCAGCAAAGTATACCGGTCCAGCATAATATGTTGGAGTTCATACACAAGTGCACCGAACTCCAGTATATTATGCTGGACCGATCTCTGTTACAACAAAATAGTGGCTATTTTTCATTGACTTCGTAAACGCTGACTATGTTTGAATGACCAGTCCAAAAACTGGTTATATGGTGCTATTTTTACGGAAAAAGAACTAAAGGGAAGAACCACCGAAGAGGATAAAGTGTTCTCTCTTAAAACGGACTCAATTTTCAGCGTTTGAACTATCTTTTATACACAATTGGGTTCCCCCTAGAAATATCAAGAATAGACTATATATCTGATCTCTTCTTTATAACATTGCTGGGCAATTATTTTCAATATAGAAATAATCTGGGCTACAGTTATATGTACGAGTAAAAAATTAGCTGCACTGAGTGGTTACATTAACCTAATGAACACGTGACATCTATTTTCACATATTCCATCCGTCCCAATTTATGTGACGATGTTTGATTCGGTACAGAGTTTAAGAAAAAAAATTAAAACTATAGTCTAAAACAAATCATAGATATTTGTGTGTTTAAAAATCATATCATTAAGGTAATTAAAATAGAAAATTTAAAGTTAAATTATGTATAAATAAGTACTATGACATTTTTTTTTTGAACAACTAAAAAAAAATTAATTGTATAGTTGGTTTTTATAGTAGTTATTAATGTATATTTTTGCTCTATTTTATTACTCAAGCATGATATGTAATATAGTATAGTTTAATTTTTTTTGGTAATGTAGTACGTGCGATGACACTCGTATAAGCAGTCTAGAGATTTACGTGTTGCCCAACTCCCTCTCATCTTCATCGGCAAATTAAGGCAAACTGGAGGAGAATCAAAACTTCCTTCTTTCACCACCGTTCCCATGGCCTTCTCTCGGCGGCGCCACCACCATTATAGCCGTAGACGGTGGCTAATCCCGGCCATCTCTGCTGCCTTTGGTTTTCTTCTCATATTTATCTTTTTCCTCTCCATTCTCGCTCCTTCTCCAAATGGCAATCGTCTTTTTCATCTTCCCCGTCGCCGTTCCTCTGTATGCCATTCAACTCACTCTAGTTTCTCCCTATATTATTTATATTATTCGACCTGTTATTGCATTTCCATTTTCTTTCTAGAATTTCCACGATAGCAGGTATTTGATGGAATAGCCGAGATAGCTCTATATATTATATTTGTATATATATATACACACATATAATGCATGTCCATTAATTTTCTCGGTAGAATTTTTGTATCTGATGGAATAGCCGAGATAGCTGATATATATGCGTATACATATATATACACGCGCACTCACACATATAATGCATGGTATCTGATGGAATAGTCGAGATAGCTTCCCATACGATTATACATATGTAATGCATGTCTATTTTCTCAGTAGATTTTTTGGCATAGCATGTATCTGATGGAATGGTCGAGAGAGCTGTGTGAGCGCGCGTTTTTGAAGTATTAATTTGATTGTACTTTTGTATTTGCAGGGAGACAATGATGCTGATAATGAGATTGAAGATTCTCAATCTCATGTTCCGGTTAATTTCCTGTCTTCTAGTTTTCTCTACTAAGTTTCTATTTATTGATTGTATTTAAGCTTTCTAAACTTTTGTGTTGATTGATTCTTGAGATCAAGGCCGGATCAGGAGGAGTATCCGATCGGGATATCTGGAGTTCCAGAAATTCCAAGTTCTTTTATGGATGCAGTAATGCTAGCAACGAATTCCTAAGTGCGTAAAACTCCATCCCTCTTTCAATTAGTAGAATTTACGTTATTGTTGTATTGCTTTAGCTTTTGGAAGAAACTAATCTGTACTGTATTTTTGGTAATCTCATTTTACTCTACGATTTCTTAATTAGAGTCATTGTAAAATTTGCAGAAGCACAGGACATCACTCATCCAAATCGTTACTTGTCGATTGTAACAAGCGGAGGTCTTAACCAACAAAGAACCGGGGTAAGCAAACGTGATTTGCACTTGCTTTCAATAAGAAATCTGATTGCTGTTTATCAAACTCATCCTAGAGGAATTGCATAAACCATAACTTATGAGTCTATGGTTGGAAATATTTGTACATTTTTAACAATTGACTCTTCTATTTTCACCAGAAAGAGAGATAATATTTCCTTGAAAAATGACACATGTGTATGCCTTTTGTAATGTGTAACAGTTTGTATAGCATTCCTGCCATTAACTACTGCATAGTTAAACTTCTTCTCACATCGAAAAACAATGATTAAACGGAATGTAAAAGGGTTCTGTATTTTAATGGTGTAAACTCTCTCATCTCAATGGCAGATAACTGATGCTGTTGTTGCTGCTCGCATTTTAAATGCTACTCTTGTTGTTCCGAAGCTGGACAAGAGTTCTTACTGGAAAGACTCAAGGTGAGAAGCTGAAAATGACACTCTACTTTACTTTTTCTTTTTATGTTAGTTACTTCTAATCATCTTTTAGCTTATTGACTGTGTAAATTTTAGAGCTGGTGATCTTACTAGTAACTGCAAAGTGAACTATGCCTTTTCCTTGCAGCGGCTTCTCTGATATTTTCGATGTTGATTGGTTTATAAAATATCTAGCAAAAGATGTTTCAATTGTAAAGGAACTACCACTCAGAAGAGGACAGATCTGGTCACCTTATCGAATGCGAGTTCCTAGAAAGTGCACTGACCGTTGCTATATAAACCGTGTATTGCCTGTACTTAACAAGAAACATGTGAGTATATCAATACATTAACTTCAAATATTCTTTTCTCAACTTCAATACAAATATCATCCAAACGCATAATCTTTTCCAAGACACTTGTGAATATCAATCATTGATTCATGATATAGTAAAATATATTGAAACATTTGGTGGAATAGCTTGGATGCGAGTATAAGCTCATCGTCAAGTGAGAATACTACTAGATGCATGAGAAAACTTCCCATTAAAAGACAGTCGTTTCCAAATATCCACTTTTATTCTTTATATCTCTGTAGGTTAGAGGTTGAGAAGATTATTGTTGCTTAGTTGAATCAGGTTAACTGGTCTGTTAACAACTCAACTTGAATCAAGTTTACTCATCTTCAATTTAGTTTTCGAATTTGGTTTTCAGACGTAGATAAACTGCCAAATTAGGAAATTCATTCTTCAACTGTATAAATCATCCTGGATGCGGATATCTCTATGCTGTATATAAGATATGTTTGAATGCTGATATTTCTATACCTATATAGCATCTGCTTCTGTAACAGGCTGTACAGATCACCAAGTTTGACTATCGACTTGCAAATAAGCTGGATACAGATTTGCAAAAGCTTAGATGCAGAGTTAATTATCATGCATTGAAATTTGCTGACCCTATACTTCGAATGGGTGAGAAATTGGTCCAGCGAATGAGGATGAGGAGCAGCCATTTTATCGCTCTTCACCTAAGGTTAGTCTTTTATTTAATTTTCTCATTTATGTCACATACAGTTAGTATTTGATTGTTGTTAATGTTATGGTTTTTTCCCTTTATTTTCCACTTTTCCTTTGTCCTGTTTGATTTCCTTATGTTTACTATAAGTGTTGTGCTCAGACTTCTGCTATTTAGTTTGTCTATTGCCTCTTCAGGAAGTTAAATAGTTTACATAGCCAAGATTATGGTGTATGGATTCTTGGGTATAAGTTATGATTAAGATTGCAGGAACATTTTATCATACATGAGAATTGTGGCTAGGAATGTCGATAAGAAGCACCATATCATTTTGATTACGACAATTTATTTTTATTCCTTGCTTTATTCTCTTATATTGCTGACATGTTAACTTTTGATGGATGTTTTAACTAATATTAGAAGAAGAAATAGTGTGCTGATGGTGCATATACTTCCATTAACAGGTTTGAACCCGATATGCTTGCATTCTCAGGATGCTACTATGGAGGGGGAGATAAGGAGAGGAGAGAACTGGGGAAGATACGGAAGAAGTGGAAAACTTTACATGTAAGTACCCATGTATCAGAGTCCAATCATAATCGTCGTAACTGTGAGCTTCAAATATTTGATTGTTTCATTTATGCACTGAAGTTTTGCCTATCTATATCTGAATTTTGGTTCTCTCTTCTTTGGATAGTTTAAATCCCCTGTAGTTAGCCCATCTCTGGTTTGCAAACAAGTTAGAAACGCGGGGGATATGTGCCTGTCCCTCTACCTTCCTTCCACTTAAATACCAGCATGGTTCGAGCTTGTGATGTGCACTTGCCACACATCCTGGGCTCTACTTTCTTTACTGTTGAACCTATGCCCGGGGCTGCAATTTTAGGTTCATATCTTTCTTTATCAGAAAGAAAGAAAAATGCACTTTTGGTTCAGATTTTCAATTGTGTACAAAGAGGGAACTACCTATCAGAAAGAGAAGAGTCCAACACAACGGGATTGTTATATTTTGGAATTAAGGGAAACAAAGCTTCAACGAGTAGAAGCTTCCTGTCAAAGCTTCAAACGAAGAGGTTGGGCTGTTTACTTCGTTGATTTGACTTCACTTTACTTAAGATTAGAGATTGGGGCCGGGCAGTCAAAGCTCATTAAGCGGACAGCGAGCAAGCTGCAACCACCGACTCCTATCAAAAGGAAAAGGAGCAAGCGGGACTTGAACTTGAAGAAGCAAGCCTCTATCAGAGAAAGCCATTGCGCGTTAGCCCCTTGTATAGTGTTAAGCCTGTTTTTGATGTGTGAAGCGGCTATGCTACATAGTCTGGGGTAGTACACTGATTTTAGTCATCCTTGTCTTTGTATATACACACACATACAGATACATACAGTTTGCAGTGTAAAGAACATGTTTTTACGCTACGAGCCTATTTTTAGCCCTACTTTCATACAATGTGATACGTGAACTCTATGTCAAATATACTTTCAGGACAGTGACCCAGATAAGGCAAGGAGGCATGGAAGATGCCCTCTAACTCCTGAAGAAGTCGGCTTGATGCTGAGATCACTTGGATATGGCGAAGATGTTCATATATATGTAGCATCCGGTGAAATATACGGAGGAGAAGAGACATTAACTCCATTGAAAGCCCTCTTTCCAAACTTCCACACAAAGGACACCCTTGCCACCAAGGATGAGTTAGAACCATTTTCTGCGTTTTCGTCTAGAATGGCCGCTCTTGACTTCATAGTTTGTGATGAAAGTGATGTATTTGTCACTAACAACCACGGAAACATGGCGAAAATTTTAGCAGGGAGAAGGTCTGCCGCTTCCCTTTCTGATATTTCAACTTTGTTGTGCAATTGGTACTCTGGAAAGTCACGGGTTCAAGCCGTGGAAACAGCTTCTTACAGAAATGCAGGGTAAGGCTGCGTACAATAGACCCTTGTGGTCCGGCCCTTTCCCGAACCCCGCACATAGAGGGAGCTTACTGCACCGGACTGCCCTTTAATATGTATTCTGAAGGCTGACGAATATGCTTTTTTGCTTTTGGTTACAGGAGATATTTTGGTCATAAGCCTACCATTCGCCCGAATGGTAGGAAACTATATCGCTTGTTTTTAAACAGAAATTACATGACAGAGAAGGAATTTGTATATAGAGTTGGTAAATATCAGAGAGGTTTCATGGGGGAGCCAAAGGAGGTTGGGCCAAGCTGGGGTGTGTTTCATGAAAATCCATCTTCATGCATATGCGAGAAAGTAGATAATGCTACAGTAGAGATTTCGCATAGTACCTCTCGACTTGAAACTTCGCCTAAGGTAACAAGTAATGACTATGACACTGACATATCGGAGAATCCGGAGTTGGACATGTTGCTTTCAGATTGAGAAAGTATCGACAAGAGCTTTTCAAGAGAGTACTTTTGCTTTACATACACCATTCTTTTGAGCCTTGATCAGATCTTCAACAAGTGCAATTTTGAAACATGCTTTGGCCGCAGTTTGGTTGGCTTCTGAAGCCTTGGCATGACTATATTGCGGGCCTTGAATTCAGAATGATTAGGATTTGAAGAAGCTCCAACAGTCATTTGTTTCAGCTACTGGAATATCGCTGATTGTTAAAAACCAACTGCTGCTGAGGCAGATCCAGACGGGTTCAACCTTTAGCTTCTTACCACGGAACTCAATCTACTTTTGAAATTATGGTTTCAGAGTTTCATATTTGTTACGTTTTTGATGATTTTTCATATGTCTATATCTATAATACGTGTCGAAATCCACTTGAATTGGCAAATGTTGTGAGTGGATGAGCATTGGAGTCCGACTATATCCGGATTCGCACCGGGTAGGACCCCATTCAGAGGTAAGCGCTCTCTACCAAGAATTTTTTTCATACCCAGAGCTCGAACCCGAGAACTCTGGTTAAGGGAAAAAGCAGTCTCATCCAGTGCACCATATCATTTGGTGGTCCTATACTTTATGCTACATTGCTACTATTCGTTTATTACATTCTTTCTACTTTCTCCGGTTCATAATAAGTGACCACTTTTTTTTAGCACGCCCATTAAAAAAATGCTAAATCCTATACAAAAATACCTAGTATGACTAAACTACCCTTATTAAATATTGGTCACATAGTTATAGTGAGGAGTGAGAAAACTTTTTAGGGATATGCACATAAGGGTAAAAGAGTAAAAACAAATTGAATTTTTTCTTGATTACCTAACTGGACACTTATTTTGAACCAAAATGAAAAAGTAAATTGTGAACTGGAGGGAGTAATATATTAGGTATTTAAATCAATTTTGTCTTATTTCGACATTTTTAAATATTTTTGACTTCATTAAAGAACAAGTTTAACAACTTGATTGGTTCTGCTTTCAAAATCATAGTGAAAGTCGTTAAAAGTCTTGGAGACATCGTCATAATATGTTGTTCTGATAAAAATATTCTAATACTTTTATTATTGTATTGGTATGACATGTGGTCGGAAAGTAAAGGCGAAATGGGTCAACGGGATGTAAAAAGTCATTAAACGTAGTGGTCGTTTGACACGTGAATATAGGGTAATAATCTCGGGATTAAATGTACGAACATTTTATCTCGTATTTGATTGAATTTTGTATTTGGGATTAGCAACCTCCGTATTAATTAAATCTCACAATTGGATAATATTTCATCCTACATTGGAGGTGGGATAATAATCTCGAGATTAATTAATCCTGAAATAAACACTAAAATAACAAAGACATTATTCTCCAAGGTTCTTTCCCAAAGTCTTTTAAACAATCCAAAATTAAAATTAGAAATAAAAGTTTATCTCAACTTATCTAATATATAACAAACTCATATTTATATATACCCCGTATATTTCATTTTTAGTCCAATGAACCAAACATCTTCAAATAAACTATTTGGGTTAATTCTTTTAAATTATATTCACTAAATAATTCCATCAATATTATATTTAATTTTCGTATTATATTCTCATCATTATAATTCCGGGATAACTTGTTCCCCTGCCAAACAACCACTTGTTCTAAAAGTACTACATTATTAATACAATATGCTCTACCACGTAAAAAATTATTTTTAGTGACTATCATCATCGTGTAATATCGCGATGCCGCTTTTCACCTTACTCTACGACTGTATATATCAAGTTTATGCTTAATAAAATACGAATTCTGCTTTTACGAAATATTCTATAATATAATACATAGAATACTTTTATCAGAACAATATTTTATGTCTTAGCTAATTGGGGCAAAGTCACGTCTCCAAGATTAGCGTGTACGGATTTGTAAAAAAAGTTTCAATTATTTAAACGACTTTAACTATGATTGTCAAAGCAGAAAGTGCAATCAATTTTTATTGAATTTTGAATAAATGATGTAATATAGGCCAACGCTAATATATAAAATAATTTATTTTATCTAACTCAAAACCAAACACACGTTAGATATCCAGGCCATTTAATTTTTTTTTAAATGATAAAAAAAAACATGGTAATAAAATAAAAAATGCAATGTTAATTTGTAGTTGTATGGATCCAAATTTGGACGACCACGACTGTTGAGTACGACAAGCGACGAGATCCTCGTAGCTTGACATCCTGCAAGGGACGACCGTCGAACAAGAGACTGTATGACCTATGCAGTAGTGTAGGTCCATTAGGGGCATTAGGAATAATCTTTCGAATATTCCCTATGATTTGTCTTTTAGGGCTTAGAAGGGGTTTGTCCCTTATGTATATTGCGTAAAGACAACCTTGTAAGGAGCTGCTTCTGCATTTTTCTAACTAAGAACACTTGTTGTAAACACTTGCTTACAAAACGATTAATATCAGTATTGTTCGATCATTCTTGAGAAGGTCAAGAGATATTATCCTTTGTATTCATCTCGTATATCTTTTGTTCTAGAGATTATTATATTTAGCTAATATTTATCCCTTCATTTTCTTTAATTGATTTGTTCGAAAAGATCCCATTTTAGTCAAACAATTTGGCGCCGTCTGTGGGGATTTCTATAGCTGAGATTTTAGTTTCGTCTAGATCTTTGAAAGAAATAATCTCTCCTTAGTCTCGCAAAGACCGACAATGGTAGGAAAGGGAGAAGCAAGATTAAAGGCAATAGTAGGTGTCACGAACAACCTTCTGGACTCCCTCAACGAAGCCGACAGGGAAGACAATGAAAATGCAATGTCAAGTGCTACACCTGAAGGAGATATCTCACCCCTCCCGCACAAAGGTGTGACTGTCACGCGCGAGAGGGAAACCTCAACATCCGCAACAGGAGAAACACCACCGGCTATGAAAAGACTATTATAAAAGTGGTTGACAAACACCTTTAGCAACATACTCGACAAACCCACTCAAAGGGATATCGGAGGCACAATACCCGCAACTATCGCCGATGAGCCAGAAACTCCACGCATAGGTAACACTCATACTATCAATGATGCAGGTAATGATGCACTTGCGGCCATCTTAAAGAAAATGGAGGAGATGGAGAACGAGAACAAAACGCTCCGCAATCAGATGAAGGAGCATCAGGAAAGGGTCGATAAAATACCAGGCGTTCCGAAGCTGCTACCAAAATGTGACATAGGTCGATTTGTCGAACAGCCATACAGTGAAGGGGCAGCTCCCCACTATATTCCAAAAACCTTTAAAATGCCACCATATTTGAAAATATATGATGGCACCATGGACCCGGAAGATCACTTAATCCATTACGTCACTGCAGTAAAAGGCAATGATCTATCGAAAGAACAGGTGTCATCGGTGCTGCTAAAAAAGTTCAGCAAAACCCTGACAGGGGGAGCGCTGACATGGTATTCCCAACTACCAGCACGATCGATATCAAAGTTCGAAGAAATGGCAGATAAATTTGTTACCGCTCACGCGGGAGCGAAAAAGGTAGAGGCCAGGGTAAATGACATCTTCGCCGTCAGGCAGACAACAGGCGAGGGACTTCGGGATTTCCTAGCCCGATTCAACAGAGTAAGAATGAGCCTACCAAATGTATCAGAAGGGATGGAGGTAGCGGCCTTCCAAAGTGGGTTTAACAGAAATAGGTCAAAAGCAACCAAAAAGCTGCTAGTAGACTCATGAAGTACCCTCCCACCATGTGGGAAGAAATCCATAATGCCTATTGTGCCGAACTAAGGGCAGACGAGGATGACCTAAATAGCCCGATCCAACGGCTAACATCGGTCCAAACCAAAACAAGGAAAGATCGCCGCAACGATGGTCGAAGTGACCAACTATCCTGTTTCAATCGAGAAAGGCATCAACCCTATATCCGAACATCCAATCCACCTCCTCCACAACATGCAGACGTCACGCCTCGACATACCGCGCCACCTCGAAATGAAAGAGGTATGCCTACACTATTATCTACTCATAACTTATGTGTTTCTCCTTCAAAAATAGTGTATATGCTAGAAAAGCTCGGCACAAAGGTGTAGTGGCCGCAAAAAATAAAATCTGATCCGAGCACTAGGAGGTCGAACGTTCTGTGTGAATTCCACCAGGAAAGAGGACACAAGACCAAAGATTGCATAGGTATGCGACAGGAAGTGGTAAGAATGCTAAATCAGGGATACCTGAAAGAACTTCTGAGCGACCGAGGACGGGCTAACTTCGCTCGCGGACGCGATCAACCTCAGGGACCTCCAAAACCACCATCACTAGCTCGTACCATACAAATAATCATTGGCGGCGGTGACGATACGATGATCAACCATGTGAAATTCACCACCACACACAAACTCAAGCGGACAGTCGCCCATGAATGGTATGACGACCTCGAAGATAGTATCATCTTTGATAAGTCGGATACCAACGGTTTGTCTTTTCTTCACTATGATGCTTTGGTTATAATTTTACGTATCGCGGATACCGATGTAAAAAGAATAATGGTAGATGACGGAAGTGGCACGTGTATTATTCACATATGAGTCCTCATATAGATGTGACTCGAGGATAAGATAGTACCATATTACATAACACTAACGGGTTTTAATAATGAAGTGGAAGGAACCTCTGGAGAGATAGTGCTACCCGTTCTGGCATGAGGATTCACCCTAGAAACGACGCTCCACGTCATGAACCAGGAAACAACCTACAATGCCATCATAGGGCGTCCGTGGATACACGACATGCGAGTTGTCCCGTCAAGTTTCTACCAAGTAATCAAATTTCCTAAACCATGGGGGATATTCAGCATTCGGGGCGAGCAACGCACTGCCCAGGAATGCTACCGAATCGCCCAAGACTGCACACACACCCAACTACTAAAAGGGGCAAGTGCAGAAGCATAGCAATCAACCATATCGGGAACCAAACCCGACATACAAATAGAGGCTATCAAAGACCCGGATGTCGTAGAAGCCTGCAAGGCAACTGTAGAAGACCTCGACCCCGTTCAACTGGACAACACCGACAACACAAAAAAGTCTTATGTCGGACACAACCTCTCAGAACCAGGTAAGTTCCATGAGTTCTTAACTAACAATGCCGATTTGTTTGCCTTTTCCCATTCAGATGCCGAGAATCCAAGGGACATCGGTACACACAGGTTGAATGTCGACCCTCTATACCCGCTAGTACGGCAAATGAGGAGAAAATTCAATGCCGCCATCAATGAGGCGGTCAGCAAAGAAGTTGATAAGTTGCTCGCTAACGGTTTCATCCGAGAATCGAAATATCCTCAGTGGGTCGCCAATGTGGTCATGGTAAAAAAGAAGAACGGGAAATGGCGGATGTGTGTCGACTTCACCGACCTGAACAAAGCATGCCCGAAAGATTCCTTTCCATTACCACATATCGACCAGCTCATCGATGCAACGGTGGGACACGAACTACTACACTTCTTAGACGTTTATTCTGGTTACAACCAAATTCTAATGGCTGAATAAGACCAA